AAATATGTTATGCAAGTGTGTGTAAACAATCTCATCACTGACTGAACAACGGTTTTAAGAAAAATAAACCGTAAAAAAAGACAACAAATAAAAGCAGAAAAGACTTGGGAATTTTGCATACCCCGTTAATTACATAGACTATGGTAGACTAAAATGCACTGAAGCACTGATAGAAAATAAAGAATATAATACCCGTTTGAACATATGTGTATGACAACATTAAGAACCTGGGACGGTATTCATAAAAATAAATCTGAACAAATAGATTCTGACTTAAATTCTGAGATTTGACTTAAGTCCTATTCACAGAGCAGCACAGGCTTATGTTGTTGCAATTTCTGACTTATATTTTAGTTTCTTTAAATACGTTTGAAATATGAACTTAAGAAAATGGGCCACATCACTGTAGCTCTATTGTAAAAGCATGAAACGTGAAAGAGAACAATAAGTAAAAATAGTAACGGAATTTGCATCGACATTTAATATTCTGTTAATAGGTGGGACACTTCATTTTCACCGTTCTCATGGGTCATATGATAAACTTTCAGGACAAAAGGGAGGGAGGGGGATCCGCCTCTGTAATGGACGACTATAAATGGAATTTCATTGGTATCCTCCCATTTGTCAGACGTGCCATTTGTCAGACAGATTAAAACAACAAACTATCTGGTTGAGTGCACAGCTAATCCCCTACCTGTTACCTCTTAATGAAATAGGAATGGCCCATAAAACAAATAACAGAAATAAGAAATCAGGGAAGAATTTTTTATAATAATGATAATAACAATAAAAGTAATGATCACATCCAGTAAGCAAATCAGTATGAAATCAGCCAGAACTGATTATATTAGAGTAGAGTTCAATATTGTCAGCCCAGTTTCAATAGGTTTCCAACAGCATCCAGGAATTAAACATATGTCTTCTGGTCACTTGTCAGCTTCTCTTTCAACCGGAGCAGTCTCCCCTCAGACTCTATGTACACCTTCTTCCTGGGTGGGGGAGCGGCACCGAAGTCAATCTGCGTTAGCTTAGCGCCTTCTGGTGTCCCTATGCCTTGGATCAGGTCCACAGGTACAGGTTTGGGTGCTGATGTGGGAGACTTCTGTTCACACGAGCATGAAATCCCTCCAAATTGTTGTTGGTCCTCGGTCCAACTGTGTGGTGATGAGTCCATAGGGGTAGAGGAAAACGGGCGGCGTCGTCAACCCATGTCGTCACCATGTAGTCACTGAAGTCTTGGTACCTTGCAGTCTCCAACCAGGCTTCTTGTACATCAGGAAGAGGAAGTAGGGGAAGTCCAGCCGCTCTTCGAATCCAACTCTGCACTTGGGGATCGCCCTTGTACTGGACAGCTCAGCCTAGATCTTTTCCTCCAAATAGCCTGGGTATAGTGGAAGAAACACCCCTTGATGTCTGCCGTGGGGAACTCACCCTCAACTGCTCGAATGGGCGCTATCTCGAAGTCTGTCTGCACAGTAGCTGGTGACAATTGTCGGTTGAGAATCTGCTGCACCTCTGTCTTCAGCAGCGTGAACAGCCTGGCGTATGTTGTCTGTTGATGTTTGGGCAGTAGGGCGAAGACAAGTGGGTACATCGTATATCCCCTGAGGGCATGTACAGTGTACAGCTGGTTCCAAAGGTTGGGGCAACAGGAAAAGGTACGATCCATGTATACACCTGGAACTTAAATAAGCACACACACACACACACACACACACACACACACACACTCTCTATTTTCTGGATGATGAGAAACAAAACTTGCTGTAACTCTCTCACTATTCCAAAGATAGTGGAACCTTAGCTATTGTGAAACATACGATCCATTGGCAAATGAAAAACAAGACAATGATTCCAATACGTGTTGTTTTAATAGCGTAACCAATGTGATTTGGTCACTATTGATTCTTGATGAAAATAGTCACTGAACAAGTATGGTCGTAGCATTGTCAATGGCTGACTATTACAAGAACTGATGCACAAGGAATGTCACATGTTAACATCTGATGGGTCTGGCATCAGTATCGGGTGTATCCCCCACATGCTTGGATGACAGCTTGAATCCTCCTCATCATGCTACTGGTAAACCTTCTGATACGATCAAGTGGCAATTGCCGCCATTCTTCATGCAAAGCAGCTTCCAGCTGTGCAAGATTCTGGAGAGGGGGTCCTCTCAACCTCACACGGCATCCAAGAAAGTCCCAGATGTGCTCCAAAGGATTCAAATCGGGGCTCATTGCTGGCCAAGGTAATGTCATGATAGCCTCATTCTGGAGATGTGCGGTCAAAGCACGTGAACGATGCGGCCTGGCGTTGTCGTCCATGAATATCGGGTGAGTAGCCAACGGGCGGATGTCAAAGTGAGGCACGACAACTGGATGGAGAATATCCCGGATGTACTGCTGACCATCAAGATTTCCTCGGACAGTCACCATTTGAAGTTTACAGTCGTGTGAAAGACAACCCCAGATCATAACCGATCCTCGACAATAAGGAATAGTAGGGTGGAAATTCCTGGGCACGTAAGCAGTGTTTTTATGCCTCCACACTCTCATTCGACCATCTGTAACGTGGAGGAGGAACCTGCTCTCATCTGACCAGTGGACCCTCCTCCATGTCAGGTTCCACTGGCGACGGGCCATACACCACTCCAGACGTCGTCTCTAATGGAGATCAGACAGAGCAGGACGTTGGATGATTCTTCTGGACCTCATACCAAGTGCCCTAAGGCGATTTCTGACGGTTCTGGTGGATAATTGTCTGTAGGGTAACCACAGGCGCTTCAAAACCGAAGTTGTGGCAAAGGGTTCTCGCCTTACCAGACGTGCCAGGCTGCGATCATCACGGGCCGTTGTCTTCCTGTGTTGTCCAGGCCTTGGACGATCTCTCACATCTGTCATCTGATGTTTTCAGACAAGTCGGCTGATGACCGAGTAACTGTAGCCCAGTTGTCGTCCAATAGCTTTGAAGGACATGCCTGTTGCATGCATGCCGACAATTTGCCACCTTAGTGCTTCAGAAAGTCTTCTCCTCGCCATTTCAGTATTCATTAATGGAGACAGTTACAAATTTGTCTGCTTTTATACCCATAAATTGCATGTCAGAGAAACTGAATTTTCGGAAAAGTGTGGGTTGTATGCTTCACGTGCACACGGGATGCATTGTGACGAGTGCACAGGAACTGAAACGCCTTTTTAGACTACTAGAGATGTGTTGTAATACAGAGATATCATTCATGTTTCACGATGGTTAACAGTTGCTCTACTATCATGAAATATATCAGGGGGTGCTTAATTAAGTTCCAGGTGTATAGATTGAATCTGCTTCGGAAAGACATCTCAGCTGCTCATCAGTGGAAAAGATCAGGATCTTGTCTTCTTCGCCATCTTCACTGGACAGGTGTAGCTTCTTCTCTGGCCCCTTTCTGCAAATTACTAACAAACTGGACTTGAGTCGGATCTCTAGGTGGATGGCAGTGGTCCGAGAAATCTTTCAGGAAGTCCCAAACAGTGGAACATTTCCCACGGCATGTCTTGAGGATACATCTCCAGTGTGTGGTCTGGCCTCCGGTTCTATTCTTAGAGTAGGTGAAGCCATCAAGACATACTTGTGGGGCTCTACTCTGAGACTCAGTGAATTCAACTCTGCGTATACATGTACCAGCCATTACAGCGGTATCTTACTGACTTTAGAGTTCATGTTATATAGTACATGTTGGATTATACTTATGTTTTGGAGAAGTTTAATCCATTTAAGTAATAAAATAATGCAAGACAAATTCAGTTAAAACCTATTGATTAATCTTTACTGAGCCTCACGTACTTCCTGTATTCCAAATAGTTGAACAAACTACTCAAAATTTCGTTGCTACAACACATGCAATCCCACACACTGATCACAAGCAACTTACAAACACAATCATATTCTGGTTACTCTGTGTCACTTAACGAACTTGAGAGTGGGAGAAGCCTACTCTGTTCACAGCTTGGAGCAGCTCATTAATTAGTGGGTAAGTCCAGGCAGTTACACTGGTCACACCTGACTGATTTGTCTGATAATTTGACCGTCTGACAAATGGCACGTCTGACAAATGGGAGTGAACCATTTCATCCATACAGAAATATTATTTCTTCGTGGTCAACGAAGCGGGTCGTTAGCAGTCCTGACACGACACGGGACAAACAATACAGCAGATTTAACTGCTTTGAATGGTTGAGCAGAGGGGCGCATTTAGTTGTCAGGGGACACCTCCAATCGAAACACTACAACACTAAACTAAAAGTCAACATATTTTAAAGTGTTGGATACCTTTTCTACATTAACAATTTTAAGTTTAGCAGGTCGTGAAAGAGGTAATTTATAAAATGGTTTATGCAAAATGGTTTTAACTGCACATACGAGACAAAATTATGCATATCTACAAATACGCATATGCATGTGTCTTGAAATGCCAAAAAAGTAGACATAAATAAACTAGTACATACGCATATTCGTTTGTTATATTTCCCGACCCACTCAACATTTTGGCATAAATCATATATCAAGACAGTTTGGGGAAGTAGGATATATGAGTCACCACTTGAGAGAAAGTGTTTCATCTACGACCCCATACACCATGCCGTTTTTTTCCATAATATGTAACCCAAGATTGTCGGAAGAGGCGACTAACGAAATCGGGTACCTCCAAACGTTCTTAACATTTTGACATAGCTGAAAACATGGGTTCAAATCATGCAAAAAGATCACGTTACAAACAAAAGACTTCATGAAATGCAACATTCGGTCAGTGCAATCAAGTATGCCTGTACAATTCTAGTATACATTTAAAACCAAATTCACCATATCATAATAAACAATCATGGAAGCAAATTGGCACAAATCCATCCTTTGAGCTTCAACATGACCTTGAGCTTCACCGTAAGTCAGTGGAGTATATCCTGGAAGTTTATCTTTCGCCAACAAGCAAAACAAAACAAAACTAATAAAGAAATGTTTTGATATTACGATAACGGTTAATTGTTTTGTGTATTCCAACTTGGTTTTCAATAAGGTCTCCTATTTAGATATGTCTTCAAAGCCATTAAGCCATCTTCCCTTCAGACGTTCCAGATCGGCTTGCCACTGAAATGAACATTTCATATATGCAAAATGAGGCATTATAAGTTAACTGGCAATGTAACATATGCTAAACTTGGGATAACATTTCTTTAGTAAAGTAGAAATTCTAGAACTTTTAGGGGTTGAGTCCTAATCAGATTTCGAAAACACAATATGAGGTTGGGTCAGACAATCTCCAGCACACAAAGTCAGCGATCTAACCCACTCAGCCATCGGTACTTTTTAATTCCGATTACTGGTAGTCTGGACCAAGAGTTTGGGTACCTTCTGGGTCCAACGACCGAACGCTATGAATTTGTGAAGCCTATTTCTGGTTTATTCTTCTTGATATTGCTGGAATATTGCTCAAAACGGCGTAAAACTAAACTCACTCACTCACACAGCTAGTGCGCACTTCGTATGGTGATCTAACGACAAAGTTTGAAAGCTATCCTGCACAAGAATCCCACAAAATTGGAAACGTGGCAATATGAATAACTCTAAACTCCCAAATAAAGTGAAAAAAAAATATAATAAAGTGAAGAAAAAATAAATAAAATAAAGTGAATTTTTTTTTATTAAATGAATAACTCTAGAAACACGTGAATACCAATGTTTTCAAGATCACGATAAGATAAGCTGCAAAATCTTTTCCAGATCGACCAGGAATGTTTGTCAATTGTACGATTTCGACTACATCACGAGCTTATGTCTGTTGGTCACTGTAGGATAGTGATGATGCCACGTGTTTTCGAAAAGGTGAGCGTATCCTGCCCACCGTCATCACACATGCAAAGGCTAGTCAAATGTTCCTCTGAAAAAACCCCGACGAGATATGGTGCAAGTCAATATAAGCAAATGTATCGGACATTATCCCTGTCACTGATGCGTGAAATGTGTACCAAACACCTTCACTGAGCCCTGTAATGTTATGAAGCCCATATCTGGTGTCCTCCGCCGTGACACAGGTGGGATATTGCTAAAAGCAACATACAACTAAACTCACACGCTCCCAGTAATATTGTAACCTTGATCAAGCACCCTTTGAGCAAGAAACCTGCTTACCTTAGAAACAGTTTCGGTTAGTTGCGAGTGATGTTCAGAATACGTATCAACGTTTTTCCTGATTTTCCAAATGACATTGAGCTTCTGGATTTCAAAACTGAAACATATGATACCATCTTACCCCATAGCGGATTCCGAAAAGGCACACGCACACGCACACGCACACACACGCGCACACAGAGTGCTATAGCTTATGTGGACGGAATTTGACCTCCTTTCAAGTAAAGCCACACGCATGTATTTTGATAATGTCCGGTTGGCAAATAATAGATACTAGGTGTGTGTGTGTGTGTGCGCGCGCGTGTGGGTGTCGGGGGGGGGGGGGGGATACCATCAATATATATGTATTGCATTATACCTGGGTTTTTTTATATTTGTGGTTTACGGCAGTACTCACCATTATTTAAGCTATATGGTGAAGTTTTATGAATAACTTAGTCAGGACCCGACAATCCAGTGATTGACACCTCGATGACATACAATAATCAAGTCACTGAGTGTGACAACCCGTTGGCGGCCTGTTCCGACAAGCAAGGACAAACAAGCGTTGTCTGAATGGCCTCACTTACTTCACCAACTTCTTTACTTATGGAAATTACCAAGTTTGGTTGGTTGGTTGGTTGGTTGGTTGCACTCAGCAATATTCCAGTTATATGGCGACGGTCTGGACCAGACAATCCAGTGATCAACAGCACGAGCGTCAATCTACACATTTGGGATACGATGACATGTGTCAACCAAGTCGGTGAGCCTGACCACCCGATCCCGTGAGTCGTCTCTTATCGCAAGCACATTCTAAAGTGGCTTGCTTCTAATTCAGCAACTTATCATCCGTATCATATATTTTAGCACACCTGCTGGTTACTTAAGGTGGAAACGTTATTTGATCTGTTATCTGCCTGATTGACAACACAATAACAACCTTATCGATATCTACCGCCACGAGACACGCTAGAACTGCGTTTGTATAGTAATCAATACAAGTATAGAAGTGAGTTGAGGTGAAATTGGGTTTAACGTCGTGCTTGAGAATGTTTCGCTCATATGACGACGTGCATGCGTGTGTATGTGTGTGCGGCTGCTTGTACTAGCCCAGACTGAAGCTGGTTTTATAGTGCCAGCCCACTGAGATACCATGCCGCAGTGAAGCATGAATACCCCACTCAGACACATACTGACTCCGAGCCGATCAGTCATTGTTGTACCCATTAATGCCGAGCGCCAGGCAGGGACCAACAAGTACCATATTTTGACGTCTTTTGGTATGGCGCAGTCGGGGATCGAACCCGCGACCTTCCGCTTTCCAGGCGGACGCTCTAACCACTACACCAAGGAGGCGGTAAATCGGATACATCGTTAGAAGAGATAGACCCTCAGTCCTGAGTATTGTTGGATTGTGAATAGTAACACTAGTGTGCAAATTGTCGTTCTCTAAGGTACATAGTTTCTGAGAACATATTCCAAATTTTACGTGAAGCATGGACCGTTACTGTAGAAAAGCACGACACCATTTTTGGAACTTGTTTTTTATCACAATTGTAAAATGTTAATTTCGCAACATATTTGATTTATAGAAAAAACTGATCCCTGTTGAGAAACGGATGCAAGGGCAGACAGACGGAAGGACTGTTTTAGGCTTGGTATAATAGTCACTGGGTGTTTTACGATAGGTGGTGTCCTGCACAAATCACTGTCCGAGCGTATGTAGACAGTCGTAACTGGCAGATACTCCTGATATTATTTACCTGTTTGCGTTTGACGATCGTGAGTAAATATCCTCCAGATCGTTGTATAATTTCTCCAGGGTACGAACCAGTATTTTCCAAGCCCTTTTCGTCACCCTATAGAGAGATAAGTACACAATGCTTGTTTGTACATATTACATAATAAACATACATTATCAAAAAATAATGATAAAACTATAGCTATTTGGTGAATGCAATAGATTTACAACTCTACATGCATGTAAACATTTTGGGCAATAGCATTAGAGAACAATGATGTTAGGGGTATATTATTTTGTAGTAAAGATTGAGCACATAATTCCATCCAAATATCCCCAAAATATTAACTATACTATTTCTGTGGTCGGTATATAACATTGGTAAAGTACGGATATATTCCCAGTACATCTGAAACAGCCTTTATTACATGAGTTTAAGTACATCTGACCACGCGCACACAACTGTAGTTCGGTGGACGCTGCTAACGCCTAATCACGCTGCTAACGTCTAATCACGCTGTTAAATCTCAGTGGACGTACACTATTAAGAGAGCTGAAGTTTGGTTTGTTTGTTTTTTGTTAACGCCGCACTCAGCATCATCACAGCTATATGGCGAGGAAGTCCTTGAAAGGCATTTAGAAGTTGGACGAACATGAATACATGACGCGTTTTATGGATAACAACTTCTTTTATTCTCGTTCACGACGTTCCATTGCTCCTTCATCAGGTGAATGAATTCACTTAAATACATCTCATGTATTCTGGACGGTGGCGATCTGAAATGATCAAGACTGGACTAGACAGTACAGTGATCAACATCATGAACCAGTTGAAGTTGAGGTTGACCAATCCAAGCAGCCACAGACATACGTGAGCAGAACTATATTATTGCAATAATCTTGAACGCCCTCTTAAACCCAATTACACTTCCAGTTCAAAAGTACAAATGTAGTATCACAATCAGGTAATATCACTGTGATACTCTAGTTGCTTTACTGTCCCTTGACGATAGGTTACATAACAGTATGTAGTCATGTAGTCCGTTTCAATGTCAAATCTGTTCTTGTCACAACTCACGATATGGCCGAAATATTGCTCATGTGACGAAATATATTAACTAACTCACTGACTGAAATACACGCTCAAAATGACCAATGAAGTCCCATATCAGAATCAACAGCAAGAAAAACAGCTTGACGTTATCCTTGTGATTAACAATATCAAATGTTCTCGTCACGATATGGCTGAAATATTGCCGATGTGACGTTAACTGTTAATTCACTCACTCACTCACTCTGTGATTTAATGGCATGAAATTTCCACTCATGAATAAATACACGCCAAAATTTCCATGGACATTTTAAAGCATGAAATTGTTTTGGGAGACAACGGCCATGACGACGGAGATATAATAACGTAGCTGTTGTATGTATAACTGATACCAGCCTTACAAATGATAAACTTACATCTAAAACTAATGTCTAAATATCTTAACAAAACACGGTGTAAATGTATCCATGTTGCAATTATACAGAATATGTACTTACATGGCAGCTTTTCCTCCTGAAAGGACCATCAATCTCTCAAAACGTGCCATGTTCATTTCAGCCTCTAGCCTGAGGTGACAAAGATTAACACTGACAATGTTTTAATCATCATGAAAGCATTCAAAACTAATAAATGTTTTACGAAGAATATTATAACACCTTATGTTCCAGTTTTGACGGAGTGTTCCATATGGTAAACTGTCTTTACTACACGATACAATACTGTATTGTTAAATAGGTTTGAGCAGACAATAGTTTGGCACACCGAGAGGAAACCAACATATGACGTAAATACAAGAGCGTTGAGATTATCTCAGTATAAAGCATAATGCGTGATGCATAAGTTTGCCGTCGGCTTTTGTATTGTAGGTATCATAAATTCTTATAGGATTATTCTTTCCTGAGTGCATCGCCCCCATTTTTATACAGCGTCAAACAGCCATGTATTGTTACAAATACACTCTCACATCGTGAAAACCGTAACTAAACCTTTCTCGGAACGTTAAGCAAAGGTTTGTCTGGTACGGGGCGATTTGCGTCAATGAATTGAACCTTCCAAAAGAAGGTTCGTTTCAGAAGACCTCCTTTGCATATTTTGTGGTATGGGATAATATTGTTATCTAATGTATTGAACGATCGATGAACGTTTTATGATAACTTGTAAACAACAGTCATTCACCAGTGCCTGCTTGAAACTTACCGGTGCTTCTCGAAGAAATTAAATGCTTCTTTACAGTTTAAATCCTCCTTTGGATGTCCCCTGCATTTGGTAAGTTCCACATCATGCTGAAGTGAAATCATGCGATATGGACATTTTGAAAGAACAAATACCACAAAATCTGGTGGGATAAATACAGACAATAGCCAATGGGGTTTTCGTTGATATACATGTTTCGTTCTTAATGTAAGAAATTTAAGATGTATTGTAGTAAGTAGTATTTTGTTTATCATATAGTGTCTTTTTAAAATATTTGACGTTTGGTGTATTTTAATTTTATATTGTAGATTTAGAAACCGATATTTAGACAACGTTCCAGTAGACATCATAAAGTGCCGAATAAATTGCAGTTAAGTTTGTCCCAGATACGCCCACAGGTTAAAAATACCTGTCAACACATATTTAGCAAAACTCGTAGTAGTATATATGGAAGATGCTCTGCTGAATAATATCTTTGAATAATCTGTAGAGACTTGTGTTCGTTTGAGAGGAATTATACGATCAGTCTATACGAGTTTGTGTTCGTTCAAACTCACGTTTCTACATTTATAATTCAAAGAGTGAAGAATGAAAGTGAGTTGTCTTTTAAGCTGTCTTGCCCATTATTTCATATACATCACGACATGGAAGTCCGAATTGATGCAGGCCTCATGTATTTCCACTTATATAAACACAACGAGAACGAATATGGTGCTAACGAACCAAGAAAACTCCAGGACGAATCTGGTATTTGATCATGGGACCCAGGCATACTGAAGAGGTGCAATTATGCCGCGAGTGGACTGCTGTCTTCATGAGCTTATCAACACCAACACATAAGTCGACCATCATCTTACCTGTTCACACTGCTTTAAAAAGTACGAATATTTTTGCTGCACTTCCTGCAATTCACGAAGGTACCCACAGTCTTCTAGTCCCCAATTCTTCCAAGCAAATTCTAACAATGGCAGTAGACCGTCAACACCTTTCTGGCATTCGAGGAATAGTCGTTGTGTATCTTGAATTTTCGTTTTGACTATTTTACTTTCATCGTCAGCAAAACATCTACAACACAAAAAGAGTACATAGCTTAACATATATCATAAACACCTGACAGATATGATTACATTTACCACTGGACAGAAAGTTGAGCACTATTTGAGCGTGGCTCGGTTCTTCCCCTTGGTTGAGTGCTCTCAATCTCTGCTGTCTTTCTGGGGTTTTTAAAAAAAATATTTTCTAAATATGTTTAAATATTGCTTCTCGAAGGCACTCCCCTCCCCTCCAAAAATGGAAAAAGAAAGAAGAAAAACAGCAACAAACAAAACAAAAACCCAACAACATACAAACGAACACAAAATCATCAAATAATCAGTACATTCTTGTTACAAATGTAATGTACCGTGCTGATTTATTCAGGTCATAGTGTAAAACATATCACTCAGTATTTCATTTTGAAATATCACACGATGAAATCGATATTACACACTAATGAAATATTTTAAGCCTTTCCTATTGGACCTTTTAGGGTTTATAATTATGACATTCCGAGTAACCTTATAAAAGCTTCAACTTGCCTTAAAGTGCCCGTTCCTTCAACTAGATGCTTCTGCATGAACCTTGCATTTGTCAGTTCCTTTTGCATATCCATATATGCACCAAGGCCATCTGGGTTACAGGTAATGGCAGAGGTTAAAGGTGTGTCTTCTATTTCTGAAACATCGATGTGTCGTTCTTGAGCATTCACCCATTCCTCCAGTGATAGGGTTAATTGCTATACCTATACACACATGCCAAAATGGGATTCCGGAGTGGGACAGGTGCCATGTTTAATCGTTAAAACCAACAAATATATAGATCGTGCATATGTTACAGAGTGCGACCTGCTTACTTGGCGCCTGATGAATCGTTTACTTCCATGCTATGAAATATTTCCTGCCGTTCACCGCTCCTACGGTGTGTGTATACCTCCATACTTTAACTATATAATTGCCCTATTTATTGAATACAGACCAGTGCTAGTCAAATGAAAACATATGTCCACCCATACCTACTCCTATATGCTTATTGTCATGCGTCCCAGGTGGCTAAGGAACCATAAACTCGCTGTGCAGAATTGCCTCCCCTAGGCGTATCAGGATCATCTAACCTTGCGTGTTCAAATCCGGAGCCCTCAACATTATGTTCCAAGATTATCATTGTTACTGTTCACAGCGGTGATTACCCCGACACACCCACATTGTGTTACAAGGACATATTCTTTACATGCTTAACTCCGAATGTAACGATGTTGATAACTACAGACGTCTGAACGTCTATGGCATATGTTTAACTCACCTCTACGTGAGGGTTCGTTCACGGAAAACAAATACCAAGTGGCGGAGGAATACAGACGCCAATTGTTGTTTCCAAGTTTCATATTTTGAAGAAGGAGTAACTGTTGCAATGGTGGTATTCCAGTATTTTCGGAAATAATTCGCTGTAAGCTTGAAAAGCTGGGAAATAAAGAACGAATAAATATTCTCTGAAACAGGCAAAAGTTTGAATTTTAAAAACATTTTATTTTTGTTTGTTAAATCGTCTCATATCGGTCAAAGGAATTGCTTTCACGGTCCTCTTCGACATATAAAAATATAGTCACTTCGTTTGCTGATGTTTAACTCTCAGCCTGGACCAGACAATCCAGTGACAGACACCAGCTAAGTCGGCGATCCCGACAACCCGGCTCCCCTTTGTCGCCTCTTATTAGTCAAGCATAGGTTGCCGAGATCCATTTTTCGAATCTTCACCAGTTACATACCAGGTAAAAACATGTTACTTAACTATCTATTATCTGGGTCATTCATTTTTCCCAGCGTCACGTTCAGTCAAGGGCCATGTTATCTATGTATTCACACAGACATCCTTTAACTCTTGAAGAGACATATCAGGTGTAAGTCTTACCTGTCACATGCGAAACTCCGCAGACTTGCATTCCTAACATCCCAGATCTTTACACTTTCCTTGTCCATTTCAACAGTTCGATCCATATCACGTACGTTCTATAAGCAAATCAAAACATTGTATAATTGAGTGATTGGGTGCTGGTAACGTCGCACTAATCAATATTACAACTATTCCAGTTAAATAATCAAGTCGATCAGCCTAACCACCTGATCCCGTTAGTTACCTTTTACTAAAAGCATGGGTTGCTACCGACTAATTCTAACGGAGACAGTATTCCTAGATACTTGTCCCATTTGTGTCTGCGCATGTGTGTGTGCGTGCGTGAAGAGCGTGAAGACTTCTCGATCGTCTTTCCTGTTCGACATGGGCGAGTGGCAGATTTTGCCGAGCCTGCACCGAAACGGTCCACCCACCAACTTTCGGCCTTCTATTCCGCCGGCGTCTCGAATCGTTTCTCGTATCCTGTAGCCATAGACCGGAATCGTTTCTCCAGTCGGCGAATCGAGTAGCAGCAAATAGTCGGTTCTTCCCTTCGTATTTCGCTACGGCGAACTATTTGCACGTGTACATTCCTACCGGCTTTTCGGTGTTTGTTGCAAGGAGGGGCTGCCACTGGGTAGTATGTCGTCCCTGTCCTCGTGGCGGCGGCTCTGTATGTCTGCATATTTGTTTCTATATCCATACACTTCTCATAGCTCTATAATTCGAGTGCACTTGCATCGACATACTGGGGTTGTTTTTTCCGTATACCTGTCTTGGGGTTGGATGGACTACTGGGATCGCAAAGAAAAACAACAACAGTGCAAACAAAGAGTGTCCCTATATACTCAACGACCGCCTCTTTATACTCCTTATAGAGTCTCCCTGTTTATAACTACTAGATGACGCAACGCATCTGGGTATAGTGCGATTGTATTACTGCCCCTTTCACCACCTCCTCCCCCACCACCACCAACCCCACGCACACACTTCGTAAACGTATAACGTCCGCAAAATAAATATTACGACGATAGTAGCAACTATAAACCGAGGTTCTAAATTTCCGCAATGTTTCTAAATCGACAATAGGGAGATGAAACGTATTACTAAATTTCTCAAAAGTCCTTACTTAATTACACAGAAGACCCATAATGTTTTACAAAAACTTATACAAGCTATATAAGACCACGACATCATGTCCAGCATGGAATGCATGTAGAAGAGCATGTGATATGTAAGGTCACGGTGACCTGACACACAACACGGCGGTCTCTAAACAGACTGATATGTTAAGTTGTTCAGATCTGCGCCATGGTGACGTAGTATGTAAGCACTATCCTGAATCTATGCGTGTAATGATCAAAACTTATGAGATTAAACTATGTTCTTTTGTAGAAATTCATAAAAACAGAAGTACGTGTAACCTTCACCTTGGGGATTATCAACAACACATGTCAGAGTTGAATGAATGTTTATAACTATAATTTGGGCATTTATACATACACCAGAATGTCCAGCTTATCCAACCAGTAATATAGTATAACACTACAGCCGTACGTAATACATATAGAAACTAAATATAGCCCGATGTAAATTAGGTCATGCGATGAATTCCTCGCTTAGTTCCAAATAAATCCAAATAAAATAAACAGTCTGTATTAAACTGTGCAATCTTACCGTACCTGTCGTGCAGTGGACAGAGTGGATCTACCTCGTGTGGGTACGCGACACAGCGAAATTAGAACCCAGATGAGAGGCCTATTGTATAATTGTCAACAGAGCAATACTTCCTGTATACGATATAAATAAAGTCACGGCAGTGTGAAATGTTAATCGATACGTTAAAGAGTTCAGTGGACGGTTTGTGGTGGGGTTTAGATTGAGAGCGTGGAGTGACGCTCTCCGTCTGTTGACTATCCCGCTGAATAAGGAGTAGAAGAAATACTGGATTTGAAGTTTTGTGCTTTAAATGTTCATATTATAACTTTCATACCTATGAATTACAGTTGTGGTATGACAGTACGGTACTGGCAGGTTATGGACAGCCCTGTTACTGATCTCATCGGCCTTCAGGGACAACGGCCTATAGGCTACACCTGTAACCTGAGGGGGCTCGGAATCGGAACTCTCCTTTGTTAACACTTAACTCAAACCCATCACTCAAAATTATGACGATCATGTTACAAATTGTAATTATTCAGCGAGTGAATATTGTTTAACCTTACTATTGCCAACATAATTAAAGTTATAACGACGGCGTAATAGACGTATCCTCAATATACATAGGCGGATCCAGAGGTGGGGGTGTGGGGGTTTCTTTATCCTGAAAGCTTATCAAATTACTATTGAAACTCTCGTGTTAATGGAGAGTGCACCCCCCAACCCACTTTCTCCAAAAGCTGTATCCGCCACTGATATACGGCTCTAGAGTGACTTAGTGAGTCGGTATTTCAGCCATATCGTGACTATGAGAGCTGCATATCCATAAAAACAAACGTACACAATAAAAATACCTGTCGACAAAGGACAGTAGAGTAACTAGGTTATAACAGATAAATATATATTTTGCACTATCAAACAACAAAAAACCCCGATATTTCTCTAGCTATACAATGCTATACAAATGAGCTGTAGATCGGCAACAACTCAAGGTACATCCCCATATAGAGATCATGGGGACTTACAGAACCTTTGCTAACTGCATGAACCCTAGCTGTATTTACACCATCCTTTCAGATGTTAGCAATTTGGAACAATTTAGCCACGAAATAAATAACACACATTCTACGATTAAAACCGCGCAAGTCAAAACATTGAGTACACATCAGTCTCGTTTCCTGTTGACTGGGTTCCGTCCTATTGCGCAACTTAGTACAATAACCAGTCCAGAATTTTTAGACCAATTCATTTAACTGGATGCATAAATATTAATCAGTATTATTTGATACATCTAAGCACTTGTATGTTGCAACACTACGCTCCTTATAACCCTTGCAAACATGTCGTGCAGCGTGCTCTGTCGTACAGCGAGCACTGACAAACAGAAGCCTGGAATTCGTGGAAATATCAAAACGAGGCTCTGCCGCTAGAAACGTTTGGCGGTCAGGTACGGACTTGATATGATATCAATCACACTGTGCGTTACAGAACTACACTGAATAAGCGCAAATAACCCATAACAGGTGTAACCAGTTAGCCGGATGAATTGTGAATCATTTTGCGACCTCATCAAACTGGGGCAGTCTGTGACGTCTTGGTTAATGTATGCTGCCAACACCTCGCCATACAATATAGAAATACGATGTTATTAAAGTTTAAAGTTGAAATTCATTTGTAAATACCATTTTCTTATGAAACAAGAAATTGGAAATCAGTGTAACCATAGTTGTTTGTTATGTCTATTTTCACGTTCACACGAGAAAATTCGGATCGGCTGAAAAGTAGATCATCGTCTGAATAGGTTAATGAGACTCGTGTTTCGGTTTGTAGGACTAAATATACTTTGAATGACGTGGTCTTACAAACCCTCTGAGGGGGAACCCTCAAGCCCCTCCAAGTAATGAGTATCCTACTATTCATAAAATATATTTTATTCTGTACAAAATATATTGTTATTTTTTTATAAAGCGGCTAAATTTTATATAACCCAGTTATGTGTATTCTACAATTCATAAAATATATGGATCAAAGCAACTAAATTGTCTTTGAAAACCCTGACAATATATGAGAACATATACCAATAAGGCACACGAGAGTACGCTTGGGCTTATATAACAATACTGTAACCACATCAAGGCGGGTGTACAAAATGGCTTCACACACTTTATACTATATGCGTTCATATATTTAGAACTTGTGTAGGTCACGATATGGCTGAAATATTGCCGATGTGACTTAAAATCTGAAGTCACTCACCCTTGTGGGAACAACCACCGCTGGCAGATGTGAAGCTATTACGACTGCTTAACATGAACAATCGAGTTTGGGTCAAGCAATCCTGGGTCACGGTGACAGGGAGGTCACCTATAGGTACTGTGAACATCCCCAGTCGTCTTCTTTGAGTGACTGAGTTTAGTTTTACGCAGCAATAGCAATGTTCAAGCTATATCAGGCGCGTACACAGATGGGTTTCACACACGGTGCCCATTTGGAGAATCTAACCCGGACTTTTGCCGTGACGCGGTAGGTTCTGAGGTACTGAGGGACTATTCAGCAAAGTGATTGGACAATAGAAGTTGCATTGGCAGATTATACTTTGCAGGACACTCGAAGTAGCTGATAAAATGTCTTATGTCCCTGACAAAAGAGTATATGCTGTTACCGTTAATAATTTCGAGGCCACTGTTACATGTTTGATCATTTAACCGAAAATGTTGGCGCCGACCCTCAATTACTAACATGTCTTTTGCAACAAAATGCATTGATTCAGTGCACACAAAAAAAACTTGACCTCCAGTTTGGGTGAGTGAGTACTAACATGTCTTTTGCAACAAAATGCATTGATTCAGTGCACACACAAAAAACTTGACCTCCAGTTTGGGTGAGTGAGTGAGTTTAGTTTTACGCCGTACTCAGCAATATTCCAGCTATATGAGGGCGGGCTGTAAATAATCGAGTCTGGACCAGACAATCCAGTGATCAACAGCATGCGCATTGATCTGCGCAATTGGGAACCGATGACATATGTCAACAAAGTCAGCGAGCGTGACCACCCGATCCCGTTGTGGAAATTCAACAGTAGGGCTCGAGGGCGTGTCCTGATTGAAAGGTCACAGTGACCTGCGACTGATGAAAAATGATCAACACGTCGACTAGTATTCATATGTTTAGCCGTTACATGCATTCGAAACACAAATAGGGGACTAGAAAATGGCATATTTGTGAAGATTTCACACATACATCTGAACAGAGGTCACTAATTAGCAATGGACATTTTCTACGTGTTACCTTTAGGATGAACCATGATAACTCACTGCTTAATAGAGTGAAAATATCCCTTAAAAATGACTTTGATAACCTTTTATAAATCGGAAAACGAAGTTTCTCGTGTAACAGTCTTTGATTATTTTGGTAAATGGTAGTAGATTCCGTCACTATAGCTACCAGTTTGATTACAATGCAAAGTGATAAAAATTAAGTAGCTACGGTGCACACAGTTAAGTTAAATACGTTCTGATGCAAGCTGTATCACTAAACAAGTACACAATGGGTATCGTACAGATTTGGCCCAAAGGAATTCTCCTAACTCTCACCTCCAGCCTCTTTGTTAGCCTCTCTTGTCAGCCAATGCAACATCCGTGGGGAATAACCGATCTATTTATAGCGCCACGTCACAGCAGCCTTGCACATGGCAGTATATCGACAATTTCCGCTTTGCTGACTGAAGGTTTCATTCCATTCGTTACCGACTCGTGTTATTCCGGGACAAGCCGAATAGCGACTTGTGCCCCTATGGAAGGAGTGAGTGAGTGAGTGAGTGAGTTTAGTTTTACGCCGCACTCAGCAATATTCCAGCTATATGGCGGCGGTCTGTAAATAATCGAGTCTGGACCAGACAATCCAGTGATCAACAGCATGAGCATCGATCTGCGCAATTGGGAACCGATGACATTTGTCAACCAAGTCAGCGAAACTGACCACCCGATCCCGTTAGTCGCCTCTTACGACAAGATAGTCGCCTTTTTATGGCAAGCACATGGGTTGCTGAAGACCTATTCTACCCCGGATCTTCACGGGTCTCCCTATGGAAGGATTTCACATTGGCGCATGAACACCGGAACTACTTCAAACAGGAACGATGACACTATTCATGTTTCATTCCAGTGGTACTTAATATCACCGATGCACATGTATATTGAATTGCCGTTTTTGTTTTTGCTTATTTATTTCAAAGAATTAAACCTCCTTGGTACAACGAAAAGAAGGAGAAAAACATATTTGTTGAAGACATATTCTGACGTAATGATTACCAGATGTTCACCTTAAATTTCCAATTATATTTCTGAAAAGGGTTTAATAATCACAAATGGGATTTGTTTTCTTCAATATGAAATACAATTTATAAATATACCCAGCTGCATTAAATCCCATTGCAGAAACTCAAAAATGACTTTGAAATATTTCTTATACTGAACATACGTGTAGCCTTGTGTACGTGTAAGTGGAATTTTAAATGAATTCGCTGAAAAATATATGAATGACCAACAAAGGTGAGACTAAAATATTCCAAGAGATGTGAAATATATGCCCAATGTTAAAGATTAAAGTTGATTAGTTACGTACAGATGTAATATTATTGTTTTGAAGTTCGTAGCGATTTACATTTACATTGATTACATTTCCGTTATGTCAGCAAACGCACGTTCATGTATGATTATGATTATGATTATAATGTTCATGTAGCGGACATATTTGAATCTCTCACCGTCAATCGCATGATTCCTGTGAAAAACTTCACATTAAACAGCACAATTCTGTTTGCTACGTTCTTAGTACTTTCAATAAGACGATAATTTTTTTCATGATTTTTTAAACAATAACGTAATGCCATAAACGATTTAAGCAGTCGGGATTATTTTTATCAAAGCACGCAACCATTACGCGCGTTCTGATTGGTTCCTGATTGGTTCCACTGAGTTAGTTTGTGAGTGTGTTTGGTTTTATGCCGCTTTTAACAATATTCCAGCAATATCACAGTGGGGGACACACGAAATAGGCTTCACACATTGTACCCATGTGGGGAATCGAACCCGGGCCTTCAGCGTGACGACCGAGCGCTTTAACCAGTAGGCTAACCCCTAGGCTAAATTGTTCCATTGTTGTAACTGGCGTGATGTCAAACTGAATGTATATACGACAGCCCCCTTTTCTAATACAAAGGAATTGTTTTAGATAACACGCAGCAGAACGGGCTTTAGAGTATCATGTGAACAAGAAGCGTGTACAAAGTTCGGGTTGTCAACTTGACGCCGTGTCGCGGAATGATTGACAGTCGACCAACTGACATTTTCTTCAAACATACAGCGCTAATATTACTGTAAAATATGTAAGTGTTTGGATGTTTTTAACTCTCATTGGCTGATTGACTCAGTGTTTGGATGTAGTTATGACAAGGGGTATTATGGATATAAACTCACCATGTAGATGGCTTGGAACAAGACACACACGCACGCGCAAACACACACGCAGAGACACACACACAATGAAGCCAGTTATAACTATACATCCACATATTCTCAATGGTTAGTACGCTTTAAGCACGCTTTCCTCTTTTACTCGCTCTTATTCAAACGACTGGGTGTCTTTAAAACATTCAGTAATTCTGCTAACAGTGCTGTCTCTTGTTCTTGAGGATACAGCGTCTGCCTAGAGACCGGAAAGTCATGGTTACATCCCCAACACGTCATACCAACGGCGTATGTGCAGACACACACACTCGCTGACACGAGCAAGCACGTCGTTACATAACCGCATATGCTTGTCTCAAATTGTCTCAACTATAGAAAATCAGTTCTACATTCAACATAACACGTTCAACTGAAAAAAAATCAAAATTAAATATCCTTTTGTCAGTAACAACATTCCCTACCAAACTGCGCAATAAGCCACGTCAGCTGAACGGAGCCTTGAACAGTGTCACGGTGACTTTCACTGAATCAATCGCGACATTTAATTTCAAACTAAGGAGGCAATACGCCCGATATATGATATGAAACAAAATAAACCCCGTCCTACCTCAAGGTACCTCCGAGATTTAAAATATTTGCAGTTGCTGAATTCCGACAGCTAACGAGTTCATGCACATTAATCGGTTTCCCCACTGATGCCTCAAATCAATACACAATCAAGTAACAACCCTCGATGACTGAATAAGTGGGACGTTGCAATTACGCATATAGAACCTCACCTGTAATGTTTTGAGATGCATACATTTGAAAGGGTGGGTGTACCGTTGCTCTTTCCCCAATAAACCTAATACATCAGCCATTGATCGTTACTCTGCTCTCATGGGTCCAACTGAGTGTATTTCTGATGATCTTGCGGGCTTGTTATGGAGATTGTACGTGCGCTTCGACCAATTTTAGGAAATGTAATTATAATCGCTGCGAGTTTCAAAACAACAATATCGTATTTGTATGTAACTAATCAACCTTAAGCTTTAACATTGGGCTTATATTTCATAGCTCTGGGGATATTTTAGTCTGACTGTTTTTTGGTCATTCATATTTTTTTTTTAGCGAATTCATTTAAAATTCCACCAAGGTTGTGACAGCAAGGTTACACGAATGTTCAGTTTGAGAAATATTTTAAAGTCATTTTTGAGTATCTGCTTCGGGATTTAATGTAGCTGAAAAAATATTATTTTATTTGTATATTCAATAAGACAATTCCCATTTGTGATGATTAAACCCTATTAAGAAAACTAACATAATTGGCAATATAAGGTGAACAGCTGGTAATAATTACATTAGAATATGTCTATAACAAATATGTTTTTCTCCTTCTTTTAGTTGTATCAAAGAGGTTTAATTCTTTAAAATAAATAAGTAAAAAAAACCCCCAAAACAACAACCTAGCAATGTACATGTGCTTCGGTGATATTAAGAAACATCGGAATCCAACAGGGATAGAGTTATCGTTCTTGTTTAAAGTAGTTCTGATGTTCATGCGCCAATATGAAATCCTTCCAGAGGGGCACGAGTCGCTATTCGGCTTGTCCCAGAATAACACGAGTGGGTCACGAATGGGACTTTTAAGTAAACTCTACTAGTGGAAAATTTCCATGAAAGGTGAGGGGCGGTGGGGTAGCCTAGTGGTTAAAGCGTTCGTGTGTCACGCCGAAGACCCTGGTTCGATTCTCAACATCAGTACAATGTGGGAAGTCCATTTCTGGTATCCTCCGCCATGATATTGCCGAAATATTGCTAAATCCATACTCACTCACTCATGAAAGGTAAGCACACGTAATGGTGTCTGTGTGAGTGAGTTTAGTTTTACGCCGCACTCAGCAATATTCCAGCTATGTGGCGGCGGTCTGTAAATAGTCGAGTCTGGACCAGACAATCCAGTGATCAACAGCTTGAACATCGACCCGTGCAATTGGGAACCGATGTCATGTGTCAACCAAGTCAGCGAGCCTGACCACCCGATCCAGTTAGTCGCCTCTTACGACAAGCATGGGTTACTTTAGGTTCATTCTAACCCGGACCTTCTATTGGAACATCAAAAGGGTCTTAACTCAAATGCAATAATGGCCATATTTATTGTTGTCTTACCGGTACACCTTCCACAGTGGGATAGTTTGTGTGTACACATCCCATCAAGTCTACTGCTTGTTAGCTGCTGTGATAAAATAACATGGAAAATTAGCATGTCCGATTAGGGACAAAAAGTCAAATATACTGAACAGTAAAAGAAACGCAAGTCTGTCTTTTTGTCAAGTTTTTTTAATAGAAGACAACCCAAATTATGTCTAATCATTTATTCTATAGACAACACTGTCAATGTAACAGCTAACAGTTGCTGTTGACATTGAATTGCAATAAGTTCAAACTAATCACAGTCCGTCAAATGGAGATACCCCTGAACGCGAATGACAATCTCTTTAGTAGCGCATATAGCCACCTTGACCTTGCACACAGGCCGTGCAACGTGGCCTCATTGAGTTCACTAGAGTCTGGAAGAATGCCTGAGGCAACTGCTTCCGCTCAAACACCAATATCTATTCCAACTGTGCAAGTGTGAGTGGCTGTCTACCTGCAGCAATCCTCCGTCCAATTTCGTCCCAGAATGTTCAATGGGAGCCATATCCGGGGAAAGAGACATTAATGTTGTTCTGATCCAGATAATCCATCGACACCCTTGCTGTGTGAGGGCTGCAAACGTCGCTGGCGTTGTTGACGTGCCAAAATTAGCCCCACATATGGCCTTCGGCAGTGGATTCCAGCAGCCCGAAGACAATTCCTTGCTGCTTGAGTTCGGTTCCTTAGATGAGTGACCCGGATGAACTGATCTTGCGCATGAGTTGTCACTCGTTGCCGTCCGGTACGAGGACGTTCAGCAGCACCTGCTTTGCTGATGACGTTGAGAAAGTCGTGTAATGGTGGTAAGATGACAGCCCAATTGTCTAGCTACAGCGGTTGCAGTGCAACCTCCGTGTAACTTTCCAATGGCCATTCCCCTCTGCTCAGTCGTTAGTCTAAGCATCGTCTGTGGCGTGTACACCTAGCGTCAATACTGAACTGTTTTTTTACACAAACCTTTATAAAGGATACCTCAGAGTGAAATGCATGCTTTTCATTCATCACGTCGATGCACGTGCTAAGATTATGGTTTTGCTGCACTGTTGGTGTGTTTGTGCGAATGTTTCGTATGGACGTTAAATTGCATGACATCATCTCATCTGGGATCATTACGTCACTTTACCATGAACGTTCCATAAACATGAACGCTTACCTTCATGAGATTTCATTTTTTCGAAACTTGCGTTCCTTTTACTGTTCAGTATAAATGAAAACACAGTGCCTTTTTTGTAAGTGGTCAAGTGTAACTTCTGTTTGAGATTACACTCTCTTGGTAAAGTACATATTTCAGTATATTTTGGGAGTCCAACCTGAGATTCGAACCCACACTCTCAATGCCAGCAATGCCACCACACAACGTCTGCCAGTTAGTGTGTCAGTAAGTGACAGTGTTAAATGTACCGACAACAGCCACATGCATCAAGCAATACCCGCAACTAAAAACTCTGTTTCATGGTTTTATTATCGTAAGGTGATCAGGGAGACCGAATTTTGTCTTTCGTCTCCGGGATTTGATCCTGAAAAAGAATACCTCTATATTTAATCTTCAACTTAATACACTGTATATATTCCAACTTGCACAAACTGCTATAGTTCCCATGTAATTTAGTTGCAACCGTACACAAGAAAGAAGAACATATCATAGTCATACTTACAGAGAGTTGCCCATGATCTGTTACTTGGTTGGCAGTCGAACACTACCTGTGGACCCAACACTGTTGCTTGGAAACAAGATATGAAAACGTTCCATATATTTTCAAGTTGTGGTGTTTGGGGTTGCCATTGCACCATTTATCAAAGCAAACCATATGTGTGCACCCTATCAATGTTATTAACGCTATGACGCCATATAACGTCACCTTGCTCTTTTGCTACGATTGTTTATTGGATCTCCTAGGTGTGTCAACATGATACCTATCGTAATGGGCTTCATCAAGGTGGTAACGTAGATCACATACGGCTTTCCTACTACATCCAGCAGAAACGCGATGATATAACGGTAATACTGTTCCAAAGTTCCAACAGGTGTTGAACCAAACCCATTCACACTAGTTGTCTCTGAGAACAACCAATGTAGTTTCTTTAAAACCATGGAAAGGTGTACATTGGTCAAGGTCAATATCATGTAAGGAAGATCGATAAATATCAGCGTTCATAATGTACATAATATAGCACAGTATTACCTGTTTTGTCAACTGCATCAACAGCCTCATAGACATCTCTTGCGCTAACAAGGTCTTCGTTCTCAAACTGGTCATCGTCCCCATCTTCATTCTCTACGGCTGAAATGTGTCATGTTCAAAATCTAGCTTAACAAGGGGGATAACAATGGCAGACACACATTGTAATGATTAAATGGTCAATTGTGGCCTAAATATGAGAAATGCTATCACCTCATCAATATTATTAAACCAATCGCCACTCTTCCAATTGTTTATCTTCATCATGCCTTCAGTCTTTCTTGCAGAAATATGATTGTGGATTCGAATTCCCGGTCGCCCCGAGCTTGGTTCTATGTTTATCAGCAGCATGTCTGTGCTCGGCTGCGATTAATGGGGATGTTGTGTTAAGGTAATGTTTAGGCCGTGACACATAAGATCATGTCAAGTAATTTACATGATGCCTAATTATTTGTAAATGTATTCGTAAATGACTGGATTTTATACTCGCCGAGTTTTGAAAACCTATTGTTTCCCAGTGACTTCTAGTATTGTTCTCTTTCAATAAGCTGACAATGACAGTATATATTTTTTCCACGATAGATCCCGACCACCAGTTCTGTTTTTTTTGCAACACTTCAAATTTCAAGATTTTCTCCTTACATGGATTATTTTATCACAAAGTGACACAAGTAGGCTTTCATACTATTGAACCACAAATCAGAATATATATTATCCGCCCCACACCATAACCGTTGAAATTTGTGTTGTCATGTTTTTTGTCTTTTTGATATCTTTTAATACAGGTAGTGGGACATGTGTAGAACACACGTCCAAAGCGTCTTAACTGGTTGTTGACCATTGCTGTTCTGATCATTCCAGAATCATCGAATCCAAGAACTGCTCAGAATATTGTTCTGGATTTGTCAGCACCATAGGTGTGCTGTCTGGTTTTGCCAAGGTAGTGAACGTCAAAGACAGGCATCACTTCAGATTTTCCTCCAAACTAAGGTGGCACACCCTCATATACCTGCTGTAGTTATACTGTCTGAATCATTGTCAAACCAAACCTATTCTTTTGGACGTATTGACAGTGCCATTTAGAATACGTAGTCGCTGTATTTCATAGTCAGATATTTTCTGTCAAGGGTGTAGTTACACGTTGTCATTATAACATAAAGCTATCTACCCATGTAGACAAGAGCTGTCTTACTCCTAACTAATACATATTAGCAGATTACCTCTCTTTCTTCCAGCATTCCAGCGGTGGTGAAAGTGAAAGTTCGTTAGCACTCCGGGACATTTAGACAAGTTGCTCACTGCACTCTTGATTCAAACTGTCGTACTTCTCCATATCATCCAGTAGAACGGGCTGGAGCGGGTGTGGAGCTCATCTGCGTTTATCGCCAGAAGGCAGACCAGCAAAGCCGAAATCAGTATCAGCTTCATTACGTCTCAAAACAGGATCGATTGGCGAAACGATTTATGCAACTATGTATCTGTGATAGGGTGCAGCTGCAGTGAAAGTATGTACTAGGAACACTCCAATGATCCCACTTTGGTTGCCTAAATCTATTTTTCGACACCATTGTCTCTATTATTGTGGCTATTTGTGAGACATTTCCTCTTTTTTGTCACTACTTTAATTATATGGTCGTAATTTCAATTATCTTCTCATTATTTCATTTCAAGTTTTCTGTAAACTCATCATTTCGAATTGGGTTTCAAACTCAATGAGGAAATATACTTCTAATCAAAAGTTTAGACTCACTAGTGTAAATATAGCCACTTACTTCAGGCAACTGTTTTAAACTACAGGTACTGTTTACACATGGGTGAGTGAGTTTAGTTTTACGCCGCATTCAGCAATATTCCAGCTATATGGTGGTGGTCTGGACCAAACAATCCAGAGATCAACAGCATGAGCATCGATTTAGGCAATTGGGAACCGATGACATGTGTCAACCAAGCCAGCGAGCCTGACCACCCGATCCCGTTAGACGCCTCTTACGACAAGCATGGGTTACTGAAGGTCCATTCTAACCCGGACCTTTACGGGTCGTTTACCCATGAACTGATCTGTTGTAAAACAAATTTGTAACCTTGAAAAGATTATTCTCATGAGTTCAGTAAATGATGAAAATCAGTGAAAATTGACGAATTTTTAACAAAACTTTACACCACATTTTACACATGCTTTTCAGCAATTCTATGCATGATTCTCGTGCACTTCATCTGCATAAAGTTTGCAGTTGGTACCCCCATGTTACTGGAGAAATCAATCTTCGATGTAACCATATATTTATACATAACATATAGTGAGTGTTTTAATTAAGTCTAAATTTTTGAGAAGTATACATTGTTGAACGATAAAAATATAATTACTCGTACTTGAAGAAAAATGTCTTAGAAAGGAAACCATATGTTGACTTCGCACATTCTTAAAGCACTTTTAATGCGATGCAGATTTGGATCTATAAAGAAAACTTTCTTTCAGGCACACATATAACGCAGGACAATATAACTCTGTGTTACTATATGCATGGTTATTTTATCTTCTACATAGATGTAAGTATGCTTTACGTAGATGATATTTGCTACACAATGGCACTGATAGACTTCCACAGCAACCACAATGGGACTTTCTGTAGCGCAGTTAGTAATCAGTTGAAACAGTCTATAGCCTTCTATGCCGTCAATTCTGCCAAATATAACTACTCGAGAACACTTGGATTTATCGACAATTTACTTTACACCTTCAGAGCCACAGGAAGGGTTTCCGACACATGAACGTCCACATTAAATGAAATCTATTTCTTGTACAGTATAAATACCCCGAGAATAAAAGACTACGTTCTGAGGTGTTTTTTTTAGTCTGATAGTTACTGATATAAGACGTTGAAAACATACTGCCACCTATCTTCAAAATGCGCATCTATTAGACTTGGGATATACCCACTCAAGTGGATATAGGGGATAGTTTTGTCCGTCAAATCTTCAAAACAATATATATGTATATTGACAAGACCTATATCGGAATCATTTCATGAGAGTTGGAAAACATTTTCTGTTGACATGAATACTGTGGGTGAGACCGTAACATGTCAGAAATGGTTTACGATAGATAGTTTTGGTAGGGCCTTTCATTGTGCGAACGCGAACAACCAACGACTGTGGCCACCTGATCCATTTAGTCCCCTCTTATGACAAGGGTAGATATCTTGGCAACTCTCTTAATACCACAAGGAGCCACTACACCAATGAAGGGAGGCAGATATCATCATTGGGATTCAGATCAAATTAGCATTTTATAAAAACGATCAAGCAGAAACAGTACTCACGTGACAGTTGTATCTTCTTGCGAGGATGATTAACGAAGATCAAGGTAGCCTTATATACACAAACAGTGTTATCAAAAACAACTGAATCATTAACACTCTATTTTTCAAAAAAGGCCACTAATAGCTTTTCATACAACACACCTGGTAGATAATCTGTTGGAGTACCTGAGGATTTTTATTCTTTCAAAGGTACAGCTGTTCCAGGAACACCTGATCGCTCCTTATCAGCGACTGCATCGATGCGACGCCTCCATCTTCACTGTATTCAATTTATTTAAAAGTGCCAAAATCCATTTGTAGTTGAAGACCATTCGCAGGCCAGCAAATGGTGTTATCTAGTTTTACAAAAAATGATGAGTTAGCATATTGTTTGAACAGGATGTGTCTGTTTTCAGCTGAGGTACATGGAAGGCTCACTGTGAAATAATATTGCTTCATAACATAGAGCTGTTTAATATGCTCATCATATTCCTACAAAGTATTTACCAAGGAGGACATGTTTGTTTGTTGTTAACTCCGCATTCAACAATATTCATATATATGGCGGATATCTGTAAATAGTCGAGTCTGGTCCAGACAATCCAGTGATGAAAGGTGATGTACCAGGTCACCTTCCTAAAAACTGTTTCCTAACAGGGAGATACAACTCATCACCTTCCAACAAACTATTTCCAAAGGTGGATATAGAGCCTTATCTTTCTACAAGGTAAGTTGAGAGGACACTGTACATATTCCAATGCAACGTACACAGGTGTATATCACATAGGATGTTAGGTAACTGGCCACAGGGTAACATTAAACGTTAATACAACTCAATATAGAACACACTTTATGGATAACAACTTTTTATTCGTGAGTGCGACGTTTCGATACAGATTCTTGTACCGTTGTCAAGCATAATGGAACAAGAAGAAGGGGGAAGTATATATATGCTGGATGTAACAATGTAACAAAGAAAACAACATAATTAACATAATTGGCTAGGCAGAAAGCTGATGAAGCCAGAGAGTAGACAAAGGACAGGCGTGGAAGCCAATGATGTACAAATGATAATGAGATGTTTATACAGCAGAGTTTATACAGTAGATTGGGCTTGGTGGATGAGTGCATCATAAGCGGATGGAATGAAGTATCCTTGGTCGATAAGCGGATGGAATGAAGTATCTTCCTCATCCGCCAGAAATGTCCTTGACCTTGCAACAGAACTTGAGAGAATCTGGCGTGACAT